CAAGCAGGAGCTGTAGCAAAGTCACAGTGGCATTTCCATGTGCAGTCAGGAGTAAATACAGCCCAAAAAACAGAAATAACTTAGCTGGAGCTACAATTCAGCAGAGACAAACCCACAGTCATGCAGCAACGGGGCGACGCTGGCGGGTCCGCGGACTCGCGCTCCAGGGAGAGCCGGGGCTCTCCCCAACTGGCATTCCCCCGGCGACCCGCGCCGGCACGAAACGCTCTGGCACGTCAGGGTAAAGCTACAGCCGCTCCGCATCCTTCCCCTGCAGCAGCACATCACCCTCCCAGCAGGGTACGGGCCTGGTCAGCTCCGTACCCAAAACCAGCCCCTTTCCCAGGGGCAAACCCAGCAGAGGAAGGTTTTCTGCCAGGGGTTTCACCCGGGGAGAGCGCAGGGGGGAACTGAAGTGCAGGACATGGGGAGGGAGCACGGCTCCGGCTTTGCCCCAGCAGCAAGGGGAGGGAGGAGAGCAAGAGGGAAAACACATGTATCCGAGGCTTCTTGGCCCTTCCACATCGTCATGCGGATCGACGGATGAAGGGTGAGCCGAGGCATCCCGAGCGGCAGCTCCCCTCCTCTCCCTGCCGGGCTCCGAGGGACCGAGCCCGCGAGAAACCTGCCCCTGGCTGCGAGAAGGAGGGGAAGAAGGTGGAAAGCAGCCCAGGTGCTGCTCCCCCTCCACCCCGCTTCTGCCCCGGGACTTTAAGAGGCACTTTATGAGTCCCGAATTGCAGGGGGCTCAGCCAGGCAGGATGGTGCCTGCAGCTCAACCCCTCTTCCAGCCCCAATCCAGGTGCTCAGGGGCTGGGGGGACGCAGCCGGTGCAGAAGGTGCACCCTCGGGCAAGGGCACCCACGGCGCGGCTGGGGGACGGGGGGCAGAGCATTGCCGGCTGCCTCTGGAGGCGGGCGAGACGGCGAGTCGCCCAGAGCGATGAGTGCGAGAACCCCCCGAGGAGTGGGGCAGGAGGGCAAACCCCGGCCTGGGGAAGCCGGCAATTCCCTCCCGAGATCTTTGGTATGAGGACAGTCCCCTGCAGCCTCGCCCCCAGGACGCGGCTCCGAGGGGTAACGCCATTGCACGAGCCCAGCGGGGTCCCGGACCGGGAGCAGACACCCCAGTTCAGCATCGTTCCGGGTCACCATGAGAAAGGCACGGAGCAGGCGAGCATCCCCACCTCTGCCAAGCCCCGGAGCAGCAAGGGGCTGGAGCCGCCCGGCGGGG